AAGGCAGGAGCGTGGTGGTGGGCGTGCAGGAATCGTGGCAAGCTTTTGTCGTCGACTGCTTTTCCGTGAATGTGTTTGACGTGCAGGGTTGTTCTGTCCCTGGAGAGAGGCTAGGCAGCCTGGGCCTAGGGTTTGAATCAGGAGGTGGCCTTAAGCCCAAGGCAACGGGGAAAGAGTACTTGACTCAATGGCACATGACAGCAACAACTATTTTATTATTTCTACTTATGCCATTTTTATTGTGTACCTCCAAGTCAGAATCAGCTTCAAAGCCATTCCTACAGGGTGTTTACAGAAGCAGTAAATTATGTGGGAGGAGGTTGCTCATCTTTTTGCTGCAGAGACCCTGGATGACTTAAACAGCATTTCTTTCAGCTGGCAGTGCAATCCCTTACTCTTAGGCCACCAAAGCTCCATATATCGAAGGTAAAATTTTGTCTCACAAATTTAGACATATTGTCACAAGGGGCCAATCTTTGGAGAAGGACATCATGTTTGGAAGGGTAGAAAGCCAACACAAGAAAGGCAGATCTTCAAAAAGATGAACTTACACAGTGACTGGCAATGGAATCAAGTGTGTGACAGCTGGCTCAGGAAAGGGCAAGGTTCAGGAATGTTGTTCATAGCGTAGGTGTGTGTCATAGTTGACTCATCAGCATACAACAACAACAACAATTAGAGTAAATATTGTTTTAATGAAGTCAAATCATTGTATACCGGCTCAACCTATGTTCCGTTTGCAGTGTTCATCTGATTGGATGAGGGTAGACAAGAAATACAAAGTAAAGCAGATAGATTTTGTCATTTGAAAGTTATCAAATTAAGAACACAGGTCTATACAACAGTGTGTTCACAAATTTATAACCCCTTTATTAATAAACATAAAAAGTACAAGCAATAAAAATATCCTTCAAGAAATAAATGGATAGAGATAAATGGTACATTATTAAAAGAAATGAGATACCAAGGAAAGAAATGTACTGATAAATCTTAAATGAATACTTCTAAGTGAAAGAAGTCACCAAAGACTACATATGACCACAATTAGGTGATATTCTAGAAAAGGCAAAACTCTATATGCAATATGTAAACAACAATTAAAAAACCAATAACCCCTAAATAGTGGTTGCCAGTCCAGTGAAGAATGAATACATTGGACATTTTTAGAGTGGTTATTCTGTGAGGATGCAGTTATTTGAACAAACCAGTTTTGATCATATCTTCCTTGTTTCCCTCCCCCAGTAGAACCTTTAATCTTTGAACCTACTGTCACTGTCATTCTAACGCCTAATGGTTTGTCTAAATGTCAGCAAACTTAGAACCAGTTCCGGACTTGGTGCCACAATGTCTGTTCATCCTCCTTCTTAGAATAATCAGGATTGAAAAATATGCTTGCACTCCTATAGTATCACACAGGCTGCTTGTTCTAGGGTGCTGTCAATTTAACTACAACTGAGACTGACCTCAGGTCACACTCCCTGTAAGGAATGTAGGAATCCTATAGGCATGTTGTTGTAAGATGCCACTGCATTGACAGACTGAGTGAGAGTGACCCTACGAATGAAAGACTGAAACCTTGCCCTATCCATCATTATTATCACAGTCTTGACTGGGCTTAAGCATACTGCTGTAGTTACTATGTCAGTCCATCTTGCTGAGGGTTTTTCTCTCTTTTGATCACATTTTCCAGTATATTTTGAGAGGGTGTACTTTTCTCTGTTCTTTAGCTATAGTGCTAGTGGAAAAGAGGCATAAAAGGAGTTAAGTCCACCTAATTGAAATACTGTTGTACATATGTGGGGTCAAGATTGGTGGACGATTTATCAACAATCTGCGTTATGCGGATGACACAATCCTGCTTGCTGAAACTGAGGAGGACCTGAAGCGCCTGCTGCAGAGTGTCAAGGACTGCAGCCTACAATATGGATTGAGGCTCAATGTCAAGAAGACAAAGATTCTCACCACTGGACCGATTGGCAGCATCAGGATGGATGGTGAAGAGATTGAGATTGTACACAGCTTTAGTTTGCTTGGCTCCATAGTCAACAGTCTTGGCACCAGCAGCCAGGAAATTAAAAGGCGCATTGCCATGGGAAAGTCTGCTGTTAGGGACCTCTCCAAAGTGCTGAAGAGCAGTGGTGTCTCTCTGGAGACTAAGGTGCGTCTGATACAGGCCATGGTCTTCGCAATCACCTGTTATGCATCAGAGAGTTGGACAATGACCAAGGAGGATAGAAGAATTGATGCCTTTGAGCTGTGGTGCTGGAGAAGAGTATTGAGAATACCATGGACTGCTAGGAAAACAAACAGATTTGTCCTGGAAACGGTTAAACCGGGTTTGGACATGTTGTGAGGAGAGATCGGTCCTTAGAGAGGGACATCATACTTGGGAGGGTGGAGGAACGGCGCAGGAGAGGAAGGCCCTCTATGAGGTGGATTGATTCAGTGACTGGGATAATTGGGATGGGAGTGTCGGAGACAGTGCGATTGGCAAAGGACAGAGCGGAGTTTAGGGCGGTTGTACATAGGGTCGCTATGAGTCGCAGGCGACTCGACGACACATAACAACAACAACAATTGAAATACTTGGTAGCAGGAGAGGTACCTACAGGAAGGCACACTTTTTTGGTGTCTCATCTATGTTGCTAGGTGAGGTATGCATTGAAGAATCTCTATCAAAGCAGCATACAGAAGCCAATGGGAACCAGGTTTCATATAACTGTCTCGTTTGGAATCTCAGTCTGTGGCACAAAGTGAGTACACATAGAAATTTTCCATCTCTGCCTTGATAGCTTAGCTAAAAGATGGGCTAGTAAGGCACGGCACTACCAGTCCTAAGGTAGGTGGTCTGAATCCACAGCTGCCACATGGGCAGTCTCTACTCAGGCAATTGGGAGCCTCTGAAAACTGTGACACTGTCCCAATTTGATGGTTCATATGTTCTGATAAGTATGTGACATTTACAGAAGAGTCACATTTTGTGATTAGTCTTTTTTTCTAATGAGCCAGGACAATCAGAAAGCACCAAGATAAATATATTAAGGTATGTAAAACTTAACAGCAGAAAATCAAAGACAAAAATTTAGAAAAAGCCCAAGTAAAATAGTAATCTTGTTCTTCTTAATAGTTTGAATTACTGTCTAATGTCTAATCTTTCGCAGATTCTTTTAATCAGATGGATTCTGAGCAAAAATAATTAGTATGAGACAGCAGATAAAGCTTCAATGGATGCAGGAAAGAAAAAATGGTGAATTTTTGTAAACCAGATTATCAGTTCATGAATTTGTAGGGTTTCTTCCAAATTAAATAACTGCTCAATCTGAAAGTCTTAGAAGCAGGAGTGGCATCCACTTCCAAAATAATTTGCCTCCAAAAACTCTATGAACTTAGAGAAACGAAGAAAGTTATACAAGTGTTGAGGTCTTTTGTTCATAGGGTTGCTATGAATCGCCTACAACTGGAAGGCACTTAACAACAAACAACACTCTGAAAGATAGCCCTCTATTGTACTTTCCTATATAACACTAGTTTGTGGTTAGTGTTTGTTTAAATCTTATAAAGTGGCTACACTGTATCCTACGAACTAACAAAAAAAACCAAACAAAAAAATCAAGCTCATTGCTGTCAAGTCTATTCCAAGTCATGGTAAAATTCAATTTGGTTTCCCAGACTACAGATATTAATGGAACTGACTACTTGACTCACTTTTCTCCTGCCACGCAGCTAACAGATTTTCAACTACTACCCTTTTGTTTATGAGTCCAGTACTAAACTCTTATGCCACAAGGGCTCCTTTTTCCTTACACTAAAACTCTATTTGATAATAGTATACTCAAAACAGAAAAATGAGGTAAATATGTTATACTCAATAAATGTGTTTATAAGAATGGTGTACAACTTTGACACTGTTTTAAAATTTTGAAGAGGAAAGTTCCCATTACCTTACAATATTGTCTAATAAAGTTCAACAAGGTCTTTTAAAGTGCTATTCTTGCAATACAGTAGTAACACTTTTGACTTATGTGAAGAACTAATAATGTTACTAATTTATACAGAAAACATCAAGTTAAAAAGGGGACTGGTCTAAGAAAAATTCACCACAAAACATCAACTTCCTCAGAAGTTACTGTAATTACATTTAACTACAGAAAAGAAAAACTAGATAATTTGGCCCACATTTATTGAGGTTATTTCATTTAATATAACAGTTGGGAGGGAGAACAATAAAAGCTCAGAAGTAAGAGCAAAAGGTACCATTTTAAACATTAAGGATGAGCAGAAACATGATGGAAACATTTCTATATATTACGATAAAGAGAAGAGATTTCAATGTACCACCCACAACAACCAAATCCACTGCTGCTGTATCGATATTCACTAACAGAGACCCTGTAGCAGAGAGTGGAACAGCCCTATTGGGTTTCCAAGGCTGTAAATCTTTTACAGAAGAAAACAGCCTTACTCCTCTCCCCCACCTCCGGCCCCTAGAGTAGATGGCAGGTTTGACTGCTAGCCTATTGGTTAGCAGCTGAACATGTAAATGAAGTTGTGACTAGAGCACTTCTCATTTACCACAGATCTCTATTACTGAACTATTATTTAATGATCAATGATTTAAAAATAATATTTAAAAAAGATTTCTAAATAAACAGGTAGGTCAATCAGATCTCTTCTGAAAGAGAAGTAGAATTTTATTTTATTGTGAGAACAATGATTGGCATTCTTTTCAGGTTATTATGATCAGATCACAAAAATGGATATCACTTGAAATACTTTAAAGATGTATTTTGTCAAAGATTTTTTTGAGGCAATATATGTTTTTGCTGGAATTCAAAATCAGAATATATATATATATATATATATATGGGATTTTGCAATTGTTATCTGATGCAAGTAATTACTAAATGGAATATAATTTTTATTACAAAAAATTACAGTATTATAAACATTTGAACTGTACAATCTTTTATATATATGTATATATACACACACGTTTAAACTTAATTTTTTATCTGTGTAAATAGAAGAATACTTTCTTCATTAAGCAGATTTCTGATGTTGTAATAATTGCCTAGAAATAGAAGGATAAGAAAATATAGTTATTTCCTGAGGAACCATGATTTCCTTTTGATTAAGAATTTGGTCATCACCATGGCATCTACATTATATAATACAAAAATAAAAACTATTTACCTAACTCAAAACGATTTAGTGAACCGAAAGTTATTAGAATTAATCACCACCTATGATCCAGACACGAATGCAGAAATAAGTTCAACAAAGGTATTAAGGGGGTGAAAAATTATCTTTTAGAACCCAATCTTTTCTAGACAGGTTTTTTGAACTGCTATGGATTCCTCCAAACAAAATACATGTTTTGCATGTTGCTATTTCGCATTAACATCAATTTTGACTCATAATAACCCTGTGTGTACAGAGCAGAACTGCTCATGTTTTTTTTCCACCACTATGCCCATCTTCTGTGTGGGTTCATACAGTGTTTTAGCTAATAGTAAAGCACTTAACTGTCTTTTGCCTTTCAAGAACTCTATTTTCATATGTAGGTATGTTTAAAAGATAAAATGCTGAACAAAATAAAATTTCAATGCTAAGAAAAGGCAAATAGTACTCTTACATAAATTTAGGTAATAAATAGCAAAAAGTCTTCACGTAAGGACGTATAAACTCATCTGAGTTCATAAATCTAAAGCATCCAAAACAGTGTCATCATATACTAAAGACTACATATACACATTAGCATCACATTTATTGTCGTCTTCATTAGAATGCAAGCTCCATAGGAACAGTAATATGTGCCTGTTTTATCTCCTTATGTATCTTGAGCTCTTAGAGAAGACTTCAAAACAGACTTATATGATAAATGAGAGAATAAAATAAGATTCCTATTTCCAAAAACTTGCACTCTTCATCTTGTTAAGCTATATCATGTCTTAGAGAAAACATTGGGAAATAATTTTACAAGACACATCTGTTTTTTGTATTTTTTTTTTTTACAAATCTTGCTTTTATTTATATTTTTTACATCTAGCTGTTTTAATAAATAACTCCTGTTTGATCTTCATGCATCTACACTAATATACTTAATTAATGATAAAAATTAAAAGACTATATTTACCAAATTGCATTGGCACTAGTCATATCACTCTGACCATAGTTTTCATTATCACGGTGCCCATATAATTACGTAAATAAACATTTCCATGAAACACTTTCCAGTATTCTTACCTGAAGGAACATAAAATGAATCTCCAGTACTGATTAGATAAGGAGTTTCATGTAAGGTACATAAAAGTTTACCGAAGTTCACAAAGAAAATCTAAAATATTAAAAACAAAAAAACTCATTTTAAATTAAAATATCAAGGAATTATAAAGAAAATATGAATAGGGAGGAAAATTATCCTCTTAAGATGTTCACAATTCAAACTTTATAAAAATGTTACATAGTGTGGCCAGAGAAACCCTGAAATGGTGAGACTATCCTGCAATAACTAGGTGGGTCAAATCTAATCACACTTAAAGCAAATGATACTTGAGAAAGAAACTCATCTTAAATATCAATGTAACTTCAGAATAATACTACCTTCTGAAGCAAGTGAGTCTGCAAATTGACTTTTTAAATACCCTTTTGAGCTCTCCTTTCCAATTACATGAAATGAAATGAGGAATTAATCTCTAAAATCTCCTCCACCTCTAAAATTGTAATGATATTTGCAAATTTATATTCTACAATTCTATTACATAAAAATTATGTCTTAAACATCTGACTTTTAAGGCTATGTTGCCAAGTATAGAATTGTTATATACAATCAAACTGACTCACAGCTGACCCTACAGTGAGTATTCAGAGGTTGTAAAGTGCACAGCAGGAGACTCATGGAGTAACTGGTATATTTAAATGCATGCCTTTCAGTTGGCAATGCAACTCCTTACCATTAAGTCATCAGAGCTATGGAATAAGTGCTTTTAAATTGGCTGACTTCAGTATTTTTAGTCTCTCATCAAGTTCTATGAATAATTCTTGTACTTACAGGGGGAAAAAAAATTACCGAGCAACAAATACTCACCAATGTATCTAGACCAACATGCTGCTTTCCCTTTTCTTGATATGGTCCTAGTATCAATTTTCCAGTAGAAAAAAAAGGTGTGTCTAGTATCTTATGTACTTTTAACTCCTTGCACTCAAAAAAAAATTGACACGTATCTCGTGGCCTTATGAGCTCTAGGGGAAAACAGATATATAAATAAATATAGAGCAGTATCATATTATTACAATTGTTATTGTTCAATCACACAGTAATATGTACATACATACGTTTAATAAGTTATTTCAAGTTATAACTGGCCTCATAAGGCAAAAGTATCACTGACTCTGCATCTGCACTGTTACTGTGCTGCAAAGTACAACTCACTGACCCTATGAACAACAGATATGACCCCATCCTATCCTGTGTCATTCTCACTATCACTGACATATGCAAGCCCATTTCTGAGGTCATTATGTTATTCTATCTGGTTGAGAGTATTCCTCTCTTTTGTTGTCTCTCCACCTTTCAAAACATGATGCTGTTTCCAAGGAATAGCTTTTCCTACCAACACATCTAAAGTAAGTAAGATGAAATCTACATGTAGAGTGCCTTTGTTAGAACTGTCATTTTCACAATATTGAATCTTCCTATCTAAGAGCAAGGTGTATTCTTCCATTTCTCCAGGTTTCTTTTTGTTTCTTGTAGCAATGTTTTTTCATTTTCTTTGAATAGGTCCTTTGTCTTTCTACGTAGGTTTACACCAATTACTTAATCTTTTGATTAGCTATTATGATGGGTATGGTTTTTCTTAGCTCCAGTTCTGTATTCTCTTTGTTACTGTAGAGAAATCCAGTTAATTTTTTATGTTGATCTTGTATCTTGCTACTTTGCTGAATTGGTCAACTATGTCCAGTAGTTTTCTTGCTGAGTCTTTAGAGTTTACTATTATATCATCTGCATATAGAGATAATTTTACCTTCTCTGTCAATTTGGATGTTTCTACCAAAGGCAATCTATACGTTCAATGCAATCCCAATTCCATTCTTCAACAAGATGGAAAAAGCAATCTCTAATTTCATCTGGAAAAGGAAAGAGACCGTAACTAAGCAAAGAACTTCTTAAAAAGAGAAACATGGTAGAAGGCATCTCCCTCCCTGATTTAAAATTCTACTACATTGCCGTAGTGGTGAAGACAGTGTGGTACTGGTACAATGGCAGACACATAGATCAATGGAATAAAACTGAGAATCCAGAAATCAGCCCATCTACTTATGGTCAACTGATTTTTGGCAAGGAGATGAAATCAGACACGTGGGGAAATGACCTTTTAAACAAATGGTGCTGGCAAAATTGGAAAACTATCTGTAAAAAACTCAAGCAAGACCCACACCTCACACCATATACAAAAACTAACTCAAAGTGGATCAAGAACCTAGGACTGAAACCAAGGACTACAAACTTCATCAAAGAAAAGTTTGGAAAAACACTAGAAGCCCTAATCCACAACATGAATAGTCTTCCAAACATACTGAAAAACCTACAACCAAGATAGAATAAAATAGATGAATGGGACCTTCTAAGAATCAAATCCCTATGCACACCAAAAAACTTCTCCAAAAGGGTAAAAAGGAAAGCCACACACTGGGGAAAAAAATATTTGGTAATGGCATGTCTGATAAGGAACTTATTATATCTAGAACTTATAGAATACTTGAGCACGACAACAAGATAAACAACCCAATCACAAATGGGAAGGATATAAACAGACACGTCACCAAAGACATTTAGATGCCAACAAACACATCAAGACATGTTCAAAATCCCTAGCTCTAAGAGAGATGTAAATAATAACAACTATGAGATATCATGCCACCCCATTAAGAGCAAAATTCAACAGAGTAGCAAAACATCAAATGCTGGCGAGATTGTGGAGAAAATGAAACCCTTATTCACTGTTGGTGGGAGAATAAATGGTATAACCACTCTGGAAGGCTGTATGGCGCTTTCTCAAAAAGTTAAAAATAGAAATACCATTTGACCCAGCAATTCCACTACTGGGAATATACTCTAAAGAAACCAGAACTGCCACCCAAGCAGATATATGCACACCTATGTTTATTGCTGC